AATTTGCTGGAAATCGATCTGCCCAGTGCGTGAAATTATCTGTTCACCAAAGTTTTCTCTCAATAAATCCATTAATTGATTACGAGCTTCAATTTCGGGCAACAAATAGCCGGTTATCATGTTGCGAAAATGGTCGACGTTGACGGTTACGCTCTCACCGGCATCATATGGACAAATATTATTTCACCGGCCCAATAACCACATCAATCTTTTTTTTGAACGAAATGGCATCTCTGGAATCTTCTCAGGTCGCCCTGCCAATTTTGCTTGTTTACATACCCATTAAGCTGTTCAAGGGCCTATAGAGCAAAGCGATGTCGCTTGGGAAAGTCGAGCGACTTCAGTTTTTGCACAAGCTGTGTTCTGTACGCACTCAGCTACAACCGTTATATTTTCTTCACTGTGTGCAGGACGTGGCTTATTCGTTCAAATATTATCTAATAATGAATGCTCACGATGGATGATGGTGTTACAAATAGTACGCTTAGTAGACCAATTATGTTGACCATAAGTTAAGCGAAGCGTGCGATTCACATTCTTTACAGAACGTGAACTTTCATAATAAAGTTGAACGACTTGTAAACGTTATTCAGGCGTAACGAAGAAATTAATAACAATACTGAATAAAAATGGCATAAAATCTTGACACAACTCACACGTGATCTGTCAAAGAAATGCTATTGAAAAAAGTACCTCTACTTGAATCACCCGTTATAAAGGGTGATTTTTTTAGCTATTATCATTTTGGCAACACTGATTTAAACAGCGGACGCAAATTTCGTGTTTTGTATCACTGTCAAATATCTTCAATGTGGTCTATAATTTATCCTGAATCGTTTTACAAACGAACAACGCTTGCAACCTATTGAATTTTATTATCAAAATGCGTGCTCTGTTAAGAACGATCATCGCGCGCTTCTTCCGCGCGCGCTCCGAAAGCTCATTTTTTCAATGCATCCAGAAAAAATCACCGTACTTCTTCAAACATGATGCGAATCGCAACAGAACAGTTAATGGTGAGCGCTACCGTGAGATAATATCAATCTTTTTTTTGCCCAAAATGCAAGAGCTTGACTTGCAGGATATGTGATTTTGACAAGACGGTGCTACATGACACACAGCACGCGTAACAATGGAGTTATTGAGAGGCGAGTTCGGTGAACATTTTATTCCACGTCCGGGACCGGCCAATTGACCGCCTAGATCGTTGTATATCAGTTCAAATAAAGATTTCATGCAATTTTCGGAATTGTGAGTGTTTTTTTTTTTAACTTTACTATAGCTCTTAAAAAAACACCCTATATGTTGATATAACATTCTTGTAAAGACAACCATTTACATATAACCTTCTCAAAGCGATATCGTTTAAAAGCGTTTAAGATCTTCGAGAGGATTTATATTAATTTTGTAAACCTCAGGAAATTGACGTTTCTGTTTTATTAAATATTAATATTATATTGCTTCAGTGAGGAAGATATAAAGAAGGATTCAAGCTTTGTGCACATAATATCAGTTAAAGATTGTCTATTAAAATAAAATCTTGTTCCGCATATGTAGCATTTTTGGAAAATACCGTGTTTTTTTATATACTTTAAAAGTTGTCCTTCACTGTATCATTGGACGATTTGTGAAAGAAAGTTACCCTTGGTTATATGAAATGGTTCTTTCTTTTCATCTGTATTGATAAAAATTTTCTGCACGCATCGTTGTAAAAAGGAGATGTTGCCTCCAGTAGAATTAACATTATTGTTGTAAATATTGTAGCCCCGAACCCAACTTTTACAACGATGAATATGTTGTATTTACTATTAATGATGTGTTACAAATACTATAAGAGCAGTTTTATGCTGACTACTAATATTTGTAATATACCTTTCTTTGAAAGAGCATAATTAATTTTTGACTTAACATTGATCACTTGAGCAATGAGCGAATATCGAGCCACTTATTGCTCAATACCCTGGTATCTATAGCTCTAATAGGGAGGAGCGCTCCTATTATTTTCAGGAAAATTTTTAATTTATTTTGCGATAAAAATTTTGTGGTACTGTTAAGTTATCTGCGTTTTTTTTTTGAATTGTGTGGGTGTTCTGCAAAGAATTAATTGACAACGCAATATTTGGCGAATTTAAAATCTGTTGTTGATTCTACCGTTCGATTTTAATGTTTGTTATTTATTTAATACTTTGTTTGTTTTTAAAGTATAAGAAAAATGTGATAGAAACGATAAGATTCCTAGTTACGATGAATATTTGTTTTTGAGCCACAGTATATTTCATGTCAAGAACAAAGAACATTTGATACACTGCATAAAAAAAAAGTTAGGCGTTTGTTTTACTTCATAAGTCAATTCTTACTAATTTTGGGTTAACAAATACATGCCTTTAAATCGTGATTCTTAGCTCGTTTGTGTGGGTCGTCAACAGGAAGGGAGTATCTCAACAGAGACATTGTTTTATTTTTCATTGAAGCTGGTTTATACGTGGCGGGTGCCAAACCCAGCGTATAACCTCGCTAGCCGAGCAAGTTTTAAAGTTTTTACTAATTTATATAGCGAGCCGTTTGCTTCAAGACTGACGCCCGCTTGCAGCCGCACCTCTGGTGAATCGAATAATCGGAGAGAAACCACTGAAGCTTCTTCTCTCACGTTGCTCACTGTAACAGCATACCCAGAAGCTTGACTAGACCCCATTACACCCCTCTCAATGGAGTTATACATGGCTTCTTACTGAATAAAAGAGATGATAACTAGCCTACCAGCAACTCGGCTGCAATATGCTCCCGAACATCGATTTCCACTCGCATTTTGAATTTTTCTTAGCTAAGAACGGTTCCATCAAGATCACGGCCGCTGGAATGAAGTAATGCTTGCAGATTACTGCTATTGTACAGATGCTCCAGAGGTCAATTACAAGAAGAAACCTAAATGATCGCGATCAAAGTAATCGGTTGATCCTTCGTACATTTAAACACCTGGCAAATGTTCTATGAAGAATTTTGAAATTAAGTATCATTAATGAAAGTGCAATCACAGTTAAAATTTTATTCGTATTTACCATTTTCTTAGAAAATATAATTTTTTTCACTAATGTGCATATCAAAAAACTTAAGAGCTAATAAAATTTCTTTGTCGTTTTCGTATTTGTTAACCCAAAATTAGTAGAATTCACTTATGAAGTAAAACAAACGCCCAACTTTTTTTTCGAAATATACTGTGGCTCAAAAACAAATCTTCACCGTAACTATCAATCTTATCGTTCCTATCACATTTTTCTTATATTCTTTGAAAACAATCAAAATATCTAATATTAGGTCAAGTAAGAAGTTCGTTCGGCTTTTATATAAGGGTGGCGTTATTGTCCATAGTACTAGTGTTACGTGCCGCATCATGTCATACTCTACGGCGCTGGAAACGTGCTTATTCGCGCTAAAAGTTTGTCTTTGACTGTTTTTCGATTGATTCACTCAGTACGTTGTTAGCGCTCGTCAAACACCAGCAAAGAGAAAACTCGCTATATTTTACAATTTTTCTTCGATCAAGGCGAAAAAGCAGCCAACGCGGCTGAAAAAATTAATTTAGCTTAAAGGCCCAAAACTGTAAACGACCGCGTAGCACAAGAGCGGTTTGCTAAGTTCCGTTACTGCAATTTCGATGTCAAAGATGCACCAGGTTTTACTGTGTGTTTGGAGGGATTGGCAAGGAATCATCTGCTCCCCTATGGCCAAACGCTCAATTCGGCCCTCTACTGCTAACAACTGAACCAGTTGAAGGCAGCACTGATCCAGAAGAGGCCATCTATGATCAATAGAAGCCGAATTGTGGTCCATCAGGACAATGCCAGGCCACACACGTCTTTAGCGACGCGCCAGAAGCTTCAGGAGCTCAGATGAGAGATCCTAATGCACCCAAATTATTTGTCCTCAAGAGCGGCTTATGAAATAGGCTCTCCGAGTTTTCTGCCAATAGGGACGCAGCCGAGAGGGGTATAATTAAGTTGGCATCTCTTTGACTTCAATCGGACAAATGTACACAAAGTTATCATATTTTGAAAAATCGATAAAAAACTTGACCTTTACAAATTATATAAAAAACCTATTCTTCGACTATGTATTGGCATATTAAAATGTGTTATGAGTAAATAAATGAGTATAAATAAAATAGCAACTTCATTGGAAAGAATTCAAATGTTTATTGAATACAAGTCGAGAATGTTTGACGTCAGGAAACCATATCCGTTTTTGATCAAGCAAAATTCTTAAAACGTCTTAAAAACCATTTGGCTTACTTGAACGTCCTATTAGTAAAAAGTGTAAAATAAGAACACGAAACCCAAGAACTGTTACAGTTTTCTTTAAGACAAAAAAACTGTGTAGAGATTGGGCAAATTATAAAATAAACTATATTTTAGCTTTCAACTAAATGTTACATACCGATTGCAGCTATATTCTTGACACAAAATTTTTAACTAATACGCTTTTATATTTTGTGATTTTATTGTACATGAATTAATATCTTCCTAATTCTTATTTACTCAATCCCTTATATTATATATATATTTGTATTTGTATCTGCGTGTATGCCTCACCATACATACATTCAAATACTTGGTGAAGTACTCCCTTGATTTTTTATTTTTTCCATTCCTTATTTGCGAACATTATCACGAAAAGTACCCATGTACACATACATACACACTATGTATATTTTAAATAAAAACCAGAAAACAGCAAAGGACTATAATAAAGAGCGAAAAAGGAAAAGATAATGGAGCACCAGAAAAAAAAACATGCTGTGCGGTTTTAAATTTTTGGTATTTAAAATATTAAATACTTTAAACTAAATCAATGAGGATGTATGAAAACTAATAGAATTGATAACTTACTAATATTGAAAAAAAGCTTTTTTACTCTCACAGTAACAACAATTGAACTGTTTTAACTTCAATGTACTTGTTTTCCAACTGTTTCTCTTTTTTTTACTTTTTCTTTTCCATTTGAAGGTCATAGGCGGTGAGTTGCAAGAGCGCTTGATTCCGGTACCCTACAGCAAGAGCAACACTGATCAAGCTGTAAGCTTTCCTATTTTCTTCTGCTATAACTAAATATAATACTGTTTGTGTTGTAACTTAGTTTATACTTTCCTATTTGTACTTTAATATTTCATTTTTAATTATTTACATGTATGTATATATATATATATAATCGCATCCTTAACATTGCCTGTATTGTGCCATAAAAGGTTCAAGGAAACAAATTCTTTCTGGGACTATATTCAAGCTGCGTGACTAATTTGAATTTATAGTAAGGCTTCGAAGATACTTTATGACTATTAAAATAAATATATAAATTTTTGGTATAAAAATAGATCGGCATTACTATCCACACATCAATGATAAAACGAAACTTAATAAAGTAAAATAAAACTAAAGCAAGTCTGGCTGTATTTGTATGTATAAACCGAAATTGGAAAGACAAGAGGTTTATAACAATAGGTTAATATAGAGCTGATCATGCTGCTTCAACGCTCTCGAGATTTCATTTCAATTATGTTCATCTTTTTTAGACTAACACTGTTTTATAATATGATGTAAAATAATAAAAGATCATATAGTTTACACTGATAAACAATCAAATCTAAATTCAACAATATTTCAAGTGAAGCTCTATGTTCGCCTATGTAATTGCAAATCACCTATACAGGAATAGAACAAAGACGTCATAAGACAAATGTAAGAAAATTTTTCAAAATTTCTGAAAAACTCAGCTGTTCGGTTATCTGAAGTCATGTTCCTTTCTATTAAAGTTTATTTTAAGGGTTTGCGAAACAAATGCCTACCAAAAATTTAATTCATCATATTATACATATTTTTTTTTTTTGAAAAATCGGCAGAAATTTTGCTTGTTTGTGTGTCCTCGAAGCTCACAGGCCTATTCTCACTCTTACCTGTAAAGTAAATTTTTGTTATCAGGTGTGCAACTTTGCTTCCGCCTTTTTTCCAAAATTAAAAGTTTTATTGCGAAAAAGTGCTTACAGATATATTATTCAAAGTATTGTCCTTTGCTAGCGACAACTTTCTTCCATCTTTCCGGCAATTTTCGGATCCCGGCTCGAAAAAAGGAGTTCTCTTTTGACGCTATCCATGAAGCAATCCATTTTTCCAATTCTTCGAAGGTTTTTCAATCTGATCTGCCAGGCCGTGTGCCATCGAACGGAATAGGTGCAAGTCAGAAGGGGTGACATCTGGGGAATACGGCGGGTGGGGCAAGACTTCCCATTTCAGCGTTTCCAGTTACTTTTTGACCACTTTAGCGACGTGAGGCCGAGCATTGTCATGTTGGAGGATGACTTTGTCATGTCGCTCTTGTAATGTGGCCCCTTTTCTTTTAGCGCGCGACTAAGGCGTATCAGTTGCGTTCGGTAGCGATCTCCTGTGATGGTTTCACTCAGTTTTAAGAGCTCGTAGTAAGTCACACCGAGCTCATCCCACCACATACAAATCATAACCTTAGCGCCGTGAAAATTCGTTGAAATCACTCCCGACACGTTCTTTCACTCAGAGCAGCATCACCATAAGTTTCTGAGAGCATTCGATGCGCTTCAGCTGCATTTTTTTTTCGAATGGTAACAGAAAAGTAAAACTTCCCGCAAATGGCGAGAATAAGGCACATAAACGGACATTTTCGAGCGTGAATAATACAAAAAAAAGAACAACTGTCACTGAAACGGCGATGACAATTCGTTAGGCACTCTCCACCCTCACTTTAAAGGCATTATCATCTATGTATTTCAACCAGCCTCAGCCGGTACAGCCACCTATCGGAAAACGGCGGAAGCAAAGTTGTACACCTGATACTGCTTTTAACACCCAAAATATAATTTGGTATTCTAGTGAGCTGGTTAAAATGTTAGAAAAAACTTTGGCAGCACTACTTTTCTCGTCCTTGTCAAAATACATTTGCCAGTTGGTAATGTAAAAAAGAAGAATATTCACATCGTAATGGAAGACGGTGCGCAACGCTTTTGGGAAACGAGTCTGGCGACAGTCATCTTTGGGTATAATTCTTTGTTTAGCTTACCGGTCTTATGTCACAGAGGATTTTCGAAACATATCGTAGCTTTTTTGATTTCTTTAGCCTTTACATAGCTTTACATAGCTATGGACTTCATCTCTGAATTCTTCAGTTACCTATGATAGACAGATACTGTTAAGTACATTGATCACATTTTACAAGTTGTAAAAGAATTTCACGCAAATATTGAGGGCTTTGGGTTCTAGTAAGGCCAATATCCAAAAATTATAGAAAATAAAGTTAAATTTCCTAATTGCTTAAATGGTCGCTCCTCGGCAGCGAATGTCAATCCCTCCGAATGTACTTCTAGTATCAACTAAAGGTCCCTCATTTTTTCTTTAATAAGTATCAAGACGCATACCATGAATTAGAGGAGGAACTTGGCCGAAAGTTACTTGAGCGATTACAATACGCAGATTATATATATTATATTATATAAATGGATAGTGGCATTTTTATTGAAAATACTTTCATAAAATTTGTTAGAAATAAAGGCAGAAAAACCTTTTCTAGCTTGGGCTACAATTTCCCGGTTCAAAAAGATAGCATTGAATTTATTATGAGGACATGAATATGAAGAAGAAAATGGATTTATTATGAGGGCATGATTATGAAGAAAAAATTGGATTTATTATGAGGGCATGATTATGAAGAAGAAATGTTCAAAGAATTCAAGGCCGACATGTTTGCACATGTGCCTCGAAACAAAAAAAAAAAATTTTAAAAGTCGCGAAAAGTGCTAAATGCAATATTTAAAAGATTTTTATCCAGTTAGTTTATCAATATTTGTTAAATTCAACGAAAATAGAACTTTGAAGAAACCAATTTGAAAAAGTCTGAATTTCCTACTGGGACAGTGCCAAAACTTCCTTCTGGGTTGGTTGTTTTTCAGCACCTTGTTTTTTTTACCGCTCTTCGCATAAGTATGTGTGTACTTATGTATATACGCAATGATCCTATCATGAGCAGCTGATGAAAAAATGCAATAGAACAAGAAAAAAGAAAGTTTGTAATTAGCTTCTAAGTATAAGTATGTATATACAAGAGCATATACATATGCCGCAAGAAACAGATTTAGGTTTGCTGATTTTAAGAATATATGTATGTACAGTGTTATGATTGTAGGTATGTATTTATATTTTAATTTGTAAAATACCCGAATTATGTATTATGAATACATTAATACATTAATTTGGAAATATGAAGCGATAAAATACTTTTTAAAACCGGAATATTAGAAATTAATTCGAAAATTAAACTTGTAAAACAAAGTGATATGAATTGTGAAATACTTATGTATGCATAAACTATATGTATATACATATGTTTATGTATTTATTTAGCACTTGTTTTTACTTAGAACGACTATAATTTATGATTTTACACACCGTCTGAATGTCAGTGTAGGTATGTAAAATCACAGTATACTTTGCACTGATTGCACACGATAAAATGATTTTGTTTTTCTTTGAATCACACAACACTGAAAGCACAATCTCTTATTATATTTTGCATTTATTACTATAAACAATATTCTCACGCACCTGTTGATACAAATATTTGTGTGCCGTAGTGATGTTTGGTTGCTTTTTGCCTCTGTGTGTTTTCCACTGATTTACAAGAATCCTCCAACTAAGGATGTATTTTTATGAGTGATGGTGGAGTTCAATCCGGCTCGAAGGACCAACTGTTAAGACCGTAAGTCTCAAATCAATGAACGCCGGTGCGAACCCGCAACCCAATCGAAATAATGAAACGAAATATCTAAAAAGTAAGGGTGTTAGTAGAGGTACTAACTTTTATTGAATTAAATCCAAAATTTTATAAGGGTATTTCCAAAAGCTGATATAATTAAAAATAAACAGATGCCTTTAATAAAATAGATAAAATATGCGCTAAAACACAACTTTTCCTGAAAACTGTAGAATAATAACTAATACCCCTCTCGTAGAAGGTTGTGTCCCTATTGACAAAAAACTCTGAGAGCCAATTTACAGAGGATTCTCTTGAGGCCAACTTCTCACCATTAAGCGCATTCGCCTTGGACAGGAAAAGATGGTTATAACTTGGTGCCAGGTCCGGACTACTCGTATAAGGTGGGTGCATTAGGTCCTCTCAATTGAGCTCTTGGAGCTTCTGGCGCGTCGCTAAGGACGTGTGTGCCCTGGCGTTGTCCTGATGGAACACAATTCGGTCTCTGTTGATCAAAGATGGCCTTTTCCGGATCAGTGCTGCCTTCAAGCGGTCCATTTGTTGGCAGTAGAGGGCGGAAATGAGCGTTTGGCCATAAGAGAGCAGCTCGTAGTAGATGATTCCTTGCCAATCAGACCAAACTCACAGCAAAACCTTGCTGGCCGTTCATACGGTCTTGGCCACCGTCTGCATCGTTAGCATTCGATGTTGTCGCAAGTGACCCATTTTTCAATGCCAGTCACAATCCGCTTCAGAAAGAGGTCAATTTTGTTGCGATTCAGCAGCGATTCTCAGACGGAAACTCGGTCCATCATGTTTTTCGCGGTGGTACGTGTGGCACTGAAACATCGATCTTCTTTTTGAATCCAAGGTCATGCAAACGGTCTCAAACGGTTTTCTGGCTTATCTTTAGTTCCTCAGCAATAAAATAAGTACTCACGTTGCGGTCTATTTTGACTTTTACCATGATTTTATCACATATTTGGACGACAGGCTTCCCGACGCAATGTTCACCCTTGACATCGAAATTGCCGGAACGGAACCTAGCAAACCACTTTTGTGCTACAGTTTCGTTTATAGTATCGAGCCCATAAACTTAATTAATTTTTTCAGCCGCTTGAGCAGCGAAGAAAATTTGTAATCTCTTAGATAAAAACCGTACGAACTTTTTACTTTTCCAATATATATACTAATAAATATCATCGGTGAGAAAATTTGGCCAAGTTAAATATGATATAACAGAGAGAATATTATGACATTGATCACTTATGAGAAGTACACTCTCCATATATTTATATAGATGGCG